GGAGACAACCCTTCGGAAGAAGGTACGAAGCGAAGACCACTTGGAGATATACGGGAAGTTGAAAGAAGGGATAGGGATGAAGAAGTACTTGGACGGCCCCATGGACTATGCGAAAAAGCTGAAATTGCAATTTCGAGTAGGCGATCTGGACTTGCCAGAACGGAGGAAGAGGTATACCAGCCGTAGGAGAGAGGAAGAGGAGGATAGACACAGATGTCCATGTGGCAAATCGGAGGAGAGTAGACCCCACATAGTTGGGGAGTGTGAGTTGTACAGGAAGGAAAGAGAGGATCTCGAGGAGGAAATGAGACAGAGAGGGTGTGACATGGACAAGTTTGGTAAATTAGACAACAGCGAAAAAACGATCGCGATAATTGGGGATAGATGGTGGGCACAAGAGGCCCTAGAGGACGGGGATAAGATGTGCAAGAAATTTTTATGGAGTTTGTGGCAGAAACGTAAAGAGCTCCCAAATGTTGGTGGTGTCTCTAGTAGGTGTAGGAACGGTGCTCCGTCTCGAAAGGGACGCGTGGTCAATGGTCAAATGACTACGGCAAGCAACAAATGAGTACGCCCCCTATTGTGTTTTTCCCACAAGCACACACGCACAACAGCACACACCTAGTTTCTCATGAACGGTCCATAGGTTCGGGCGGGGATATGTGTGGAGCTATGATGGTCGTGTACATCTGTGTTGCTGTTTTGTTGGGCTCGTCTATACTGCTGCTGTGTAGTGTAGCTGCTGACACGATGCCTGCTGGATCTTGGGAGTGTACGGTTATCAAATTTGGAGATGCATACCAGGATATCTTGGCTTGGCTGGACTTGATACACTCCGCTTTTTGCATTTCAGTGGCTTCATAGATTTGGGTGAGGGCATGCATGTGCAGCTATCATGTGTACCTCTGTGAAGAATATTTAGTTCGAGAGATGCACTGATGCACTATGGCATTCGCATTTAGCGAGATGTGCATTCCGCATTTTTTGGTATGCATACCCTGCCAGGCGGCAACTCCATGGCATGCCCACACACCAGCATATGCGAATGATCTATCAATGATCATTCAGGACACCTGACCCAAAAGGGTTAAGGTATGGCAGATTAAGTGATTTTGACGCTGGCTCTTTTTTCTACTCAATATCCAATGGAAAGAGAGAAAACATTCTTCCCGCCAGAGTTAGCTTTGAAGGTCTACTACTGTCATCCGTAGATGACATCATGAAGAGGCGTCGTGCTGCTTGCACGTTCAGGTTTGCTACTGGAGCTGAAATATCGAAGGGCGCAGCAGCCTCTGAAAATAGCCCGAATTCTGCGTCGGAACCAATCCAACGTTTGTCACAGCCGTGCTGACCGCCACGGACCGTAAACCCCTGAACCGAGGTTGTCAGCTGCTGTGGACTGGCAGTTCAGGAGATTGGGGGCAGTGGCGGCGAGCACGGGTGTGACAAACGTTGGATTCGCTTGGTTGGCGCACATTTCGGGTTATTTTCAGTTTTCAGAGGCTGCTGCGACCTTCGATATTCAGCTCCAGTCAGTAGCAAGCCTGAAAGCCCTACTGATGACTGCAGACTGCACCACCACCCTCGCAACACCGACCTTGAACATACGAACGTCTGCCAATTTGGCCCTTTTGACTTGAACATATACAGCAGTGTAGTGTGATTTATTTTTCTTGATTTCAAAGGAGCCGTGTGGAGGTAGACACGTGAAATGTACTCCGTATGTTTGAAGCAGCCGCTCTGCCACCCTGTGCGAGAATCTACGATTTCTGGTTTTCGAAATGCCTTCCTACTGGTCTTGTGTGTCTGTTGTGTATTTCTGGTGCTCTTGCGTTGTATTCAGCAGTCAACATCAAATTTCATCTGTTTGGCTGGCTTCTCAATAACTCACCTCTAAGTCGTTGCTCATCAAGTTGAGCGACACAAGGCTTCCCGCATTTACGGTCACCCCGTGCCATTTCTTAACGTCTGTTCCAGGTGTGAGCCAGCCACTTTTATTTCGCCATCGATCACCCCCAAGCGCGTTGAACACATCGACCAGGGCTTGATTTGCCAGTCGCCGGATTTGCCCTGTGAGGAGCAACGCGAGATGCCGACGGGCGCGGGCACAGAGAATCAGGTGTTTCGTCAACGCATGGAGCACCTGCTGTCACAAGAGGTCCACATCAATGGATAAAACTATATCTTACTTAAGTCTTTGTTGTCTGCTGCCCTGGCCATCGTGTATACGAGCAGGTGCGTGTCCCGAATGTGTAACGTGGAATGGAATGATTGCTCAGCAGGCTCGAGGCACGGCGGGTGGGCGAG